AAATCACAAGATTTTTTGGCATTTTTTGGTACGTGTAAAAATCGTTATTTTTTTGTTATAGTCATGTTATTCCTAACACATTTGCACAATTTAGAATCACTTCACAATCATTAAAATTTCAAAAATATTAGCAGAATATAATTATGTACAAGAATAAAAAAAAAAAATAGTCTCTAATTGTGCAATTTCACATTCAAATCATTATTTTTGTAACTAACAGAAGAAATTATCAAAGTCACCCCGCGTATCAAAGTCACCCCGTTCTACGGTATAATACGTGTATATATAATAAAATAAAATACAATTGATCAAATAACTAATAACAATGTAGAAGAAACAAAAACTGAAAATAATTTTACAAATTATCCAGAGTAAAAAAAAAGAATTTTACATTTCAAAAATATTTATATATATTGCCACTAGAAAGAATATAGTTTTTTAATTTAGTTTTAAAAACGGAAAACGAAATTGACAAATCAAAATTTGGAACAACAATTTTGTTCCATAAATACGGTGCTCTATAGTTTATGCAAAATTGATTAAACTTTGTTTGACAAAAGGGTTCAATTAATAAATTATTATTTCGTAAAGCATATTTGTTTATAGCTTTATAAGTAAAAAGATCTTTGAAATTGGACAATGGTCGTTCACTTTTACAACGAAACATAAAACATAAAATATTATAGACATTGAGTTCGTAAACGTTAAGTGCTTTAACGTTTTTAAATAAAATATTTGAATGAGAAAAACGATTTTCGAAACATATTAAACGCATTGCGTGTTTCTGACGATGGTAAAGACTTCGTAACTTACTTTTAGAGGTACTTCCCCAAACAATATTTGCATAATTTATATAGCTATGAATAAACGAGTAGTAGAGTTGAATTAAATTTTGTTTACTTAGATAGTATCTGACCTTATATAGAATTCCAATACTTTTAGCCAATTTAGTAGAAATATAGTCGATATGATACTTCCATGTAATATTTTCATCAATGTAAATGCCTAAAAATCTTGTGACCGACTCCTTTTTTATTTCAATTTTATCAATAAAAAGTTTAGGCAATTTATTTGGTAAAAAACGCTTTTTAGCAAGAGAGTGGAAAAGGATCCACTTTGTTTTGTCAATGTTTAAAGTTAACTTGTTGCACTTAAACCAGTTGGAGATCTGATTGAGTTCATTATTCATATTTGAAAAAAGCTCATAAATGCTACTGTTTGACAGTAATAAATTAGTATCGTCCGCAAAATTTATACTCATAAGGTTAGAAGCTTTATTTAAATCATTTATATAAACTAAAAACAAAAGTGGGCCTAGAATAGAACCCTGTGGAACACCACATTTTATGTCAATTAATTTTTCATTTTGAAGATAATCTCCATAGAAAACAAATTGTTTTCTATTTTCCAAGTAACTTTGATACCATTTTATTAATTTGCCATTAATTCCGTAAAATTTGAGTTTTTTAAGTAGAATTTTGTGATCGACCGTGTCGAATGCTTTTGATAGGTCAATGAAAATACCTAATGTATATTGTGATCTACCAAATGAATCGGAGATTTCACGAATGAACTGTGTAATGGCTTGTTCAGTTGAACAATTTTTTTTAAAACCGAATTGATTTTTATATAGAAGTTTATTTAGATTAAGGTAATTGTATGTTCTATGGTATATAATTCTTTCTAAAATTTTTGAGAAAGTTGAAAGAACTGAGATAGGGCGATAATTACTAATATTTGATTTTTTTCCGTTTTTGTATATAGGAGTTACTTTAGCTATTTTTAATTGGTCGGGGAATACACCTTGCTGTATAGATGCCCTAAAGACTTTATAAAGAATACACTTTAAGTTTTCAAAGCAATCTATGACTATGTTGCCATTTATTTCGTCCGCACCCGTAGCTTTGTTTCTTTTGAGAGATTTGTAAGCTCTCTCAAACTTATCAAAAGATAAGTCAGAATGTAAATTATCTATAAAAAGCGAATTATTTATAGGCTCTAGGAAATCACTAAAATTTTTTTCTGTAATAGGGATCTTGTTTGCCAATTTGGTTCCTATGTCAATGAAATATTTATTAAACTCGTTTGCAATTTTGTTTGGTTCATATATATTTGTTTTATTTATTTTAATTACTTTAGGAAGGGAGTTTGAATTTGTTTTTTGTTTTCCTGTTATTTCTTTCAACGTTCTCCAAGTATTTTTTGAGTCGTTTTTAAATTTACTAATTAAATTTGAATAATAATTTTTTTTTAATTTTTTACGAATTTTTTCAAATAAATGTTGGTAATTTTTATATTTTTGTTGGTTTTTCTTTGATTTTGTTTTTAGATATTTTATATATAGTTTCTGTTTTATTTTAGAGGATTTTCTGTCGTTGCTACTATTAGTTTATAATTCATCACGTTTAAAAACGTAAATGATTATAAAAGATAGAAAAGGAGTCTTATGTAAAATGGTACGTATTTGAACGTCCATCAGACGTCCTGGGTCCATTGGGTGGCTGATAAAATATGACCAGCTGTTAAATTAGCTGCTCACATTCCCAATTAGCTAACGCATTTTCAAGGCTATAGGTCTAGAAACATGAATAGCTAATTCTATAAATACTAGAAAAGGAGAAATATCTAAAGGAGCTCTCTCTTCTTGTTTGCCTAGAGATGATTAGATAAGATCTTTTAAAATTAAAAAACCCAAATGTTATTTTTGATAATCAAATAAAAAATGATAATCCAAAAGTTAATGAAATATAAGCTCTAGATGGCAAAGTAAAAATAAAAAATCGTGATAAATTTATTGATAAAAGATAAAAAAACAAAGTTGATAAAAATAATGGGTGTATTTGAGAGTTGTTTCCTAAATTTTCTTTTACAAATTGAAAAAAATGATTAACAATCATTTCAAAAAACAATTGATTTCTTGAAGGAGTTATAACATTAAAATTTAGAGCTACAATAATTATAAATACAGATAATATTAATATTAATTAAGAATCAAATAAAAATCCAAAAATTTTTTTAATTAAAAAATGATTGAAATAATAGTTAATCGACATTATAATTTTAATATATATTATGCAATATAGAAAATTGTTTAAAATTATTTTTATTTGATTCTGAATTATTTGAAATAAAATTATTTCTTATATTTAGGACTAAGAAAAAAATATAAAATTTGAAACTTATCTAAATTTATTGAGCAGCCATGGCGCAGTAGTAGCGCACTTGTCTCAGAAACAAAGAGTCAGTGCTTCAAACCCCACCTTTAGCCAAGTTTTTGCAACATCGGTTAGGAAGGAGGCGTGAACTTCCTATTAAATGCTCATCTACGGTGCTCTGTGATAAGACCGTAAGTACTTTTTGGGGCACCTAAATAAAATTAAAAAAAAAATTTACAAATTAAAAGTATCTACATTTATTATTTTATATCTCTTTTATTTATTTTATTATTTTATATTATTTATTATTATATTATTTTATATCTCTTTTATTCTGATTTAGTAGGATTATATTTGAATGAAAATAATATATTTTTAGAAATTTCGATTTTTATTATATTCTTTTGCCATTTACTTAGTTCTTTCAAATCTGTTCAAATAATTTAATTGGAAACAAAAGTTACGTTTACATTTTATGCTACTGCAATAATTAAAAAGAGATTGATTATTAAAAAGGGTTATTAAATTATAAAGGATTAATTATTAATACCTTTGCTGTATTTTTATTTTTATAAGTAAAAAATGTTGGAGACTGATTTCAAAAAAATGTAGACATTTTAATAAATAGCACAGTCAATCTAAAATTACGACTATTAATTCATATTTTGTTGAAACATTTTGACATTATTTGTTCAACAGTTTGTTTTGTTGCCCAAATCAGTAGAATACACAATTTAGAATACAAAAACTAGTTTTTGCCTCTATGATTCTACTAACATAATTTTTATTTTAAAGCGTTGTGTAATGATATGTTGTGTCTTTATTAAAAAGTCAAAAATTATAATAAATTTAAAAAAATTACTAAAATTGTGAACTCATTAAAAATCCTCATCTCTTTATATTGTAGATATTGTTTTTAATATTTTAGCTCAACTTTTGTATATATATATATATATATATATATATATATATATATATATATATATATATATATATATATATATATATATATATATATATATATATATATATATATATATATATATATATATATATATATATGTATATATTTATATTTATATTTATATATATATATATATATATATATATATATATATATATATATATATATATATATATATATATATATATATATATATATATATATATACATGTATAAACATAAAACTAAGCTAAAAAAACCCGTATTTAATAAATAAAAGAAAATCATTATTCCGAAAAAAAACTGAATAACTTAGGTAAATAACAAAACAAATTTTTAAATATTATTTAATGCAAATATTGTTTACTAAGTGATATAAGATTTAGAAAAGAACGAGAGACGATAATTGTTTGTTTTTTTTTTGTTGTTTTTTTTAACTATGAATGTAAGTCTGCTACAATCTTAACACAATCTTGTTAAATAGAACTATAATTTCTAAATTTTTTGTTGGTAAAGTTAAGCATTTAAATAATGATTGTTTATTTTGTTTTTATTTGATTCCTATATTTTTAGCGTTTATATATATATTATATATATATATATTTTTAGCGTTTATATGTATATATATATATATATATATATATATATATATATATATATATACATATATATATATATATATATATATATATATATATATATATATATATATATATATATATATATATATATATATATATATATATATATATATATATATATATATATATATATATATATATATATATATATATATATATATATATATATATATATATATATATATATATATATATATATATAAAACAAATGTTACTATTATATTATTTTAGAAATGCTATTTAAATGAAAAAATTATTTTTTTAGCTAAATGGCATATCGAGTTAAGTAGCATATAAAAGAAAAAATTAAATAAAATAACAAACAAGTAAAAGAGTAATGATTTTAAAGCAGGTGAGGCAAATATTTCTTAAATCTTAGATGGTTTCGCCTAATATAGGAAATCTTTGATTTCGTCTAGATAAGATTAGGTTTTTTTATTCTTATAATCTCAAAATAATTTACATCATCAAAAAATATGCTGCATTTATACTGCAGGGTATTAAGTTTTTATTTATTGTTAACAGCTATTATTTAATTTTTTTTTTTTAACTTTGCTTTCTTAACTAAATTTAAACTAATATTTCAAATTCATAATGAGCAAAACATGCTATACAGACCATAAAGTATCATATTCGCATAATTAGCTCAATACTTGTAGCTAGCTTAGTTTCAAAAAGATATCTGCATTGAATTGATATAACACATAGCATAAATTGGTTCTATCTGTTGTTTCAGTGGTTATATTTGTATCGCAGATAGATCAACAAACATGTTTTTTAACAGACTCATTTATTTTTATAAAATGAAATCTTTTGTGTAAACTGGTATTGAGAAAAAGATGTCAACAACCTTTTTTTCAGTTGACAGAGGGTTCAATAATATCAAATACACAAAAAAGTAATAAAAGTTGCTATTTTAGAGTGTTTCTTTTACAACATAAATGCCATATTCATTTCTACGAATGCACCATAACGAATTCCATTCAATATATTTAATTAAACAGTGGCTCAAATAAGTAAGAAACTTACGAACTAACTTTAGTAAATTTGTAAGTTTAAAAACAATTAACAAATATCTAGAAAAGAAAATATTTTAAATTTAATGGTAAATTTCAACCAATAATTAAAACTTAAATTTTTTGAGTTTTAATTTTCTTATTTAAATTTTTCGGTTTATTAAAGTTTGCTTTAAATTAAAATTAAAAATTATTTACAGTCTAAATAAGAATATTAGATTTGATTGGTTGAGATATATAGGATGAGATAGGTTGAGATTATCATTTATCCACTTTTATTATTTTTAACTGCTAATCCGATAAATCTTTTTTTTTTTTTCATAGTTTCAAAAACAGTATTTTTTTCTCTAAACTTTTTATAAAATAGTATTTTTGGCACTAAAATCGTAAAACTTCAAAATATTAAAAACTTCAAAATATTAGTTATTTAATATTACAGTAGTTAAATTTTAAAAAAGATTAACAAAGTAAACTTGTTAAAATAATCATTTCTCTTTAAATCAAACAAATAAAACAAACTTATCAAAATCATCGTTTTTTTTTCAAATCAAACATACAAATAAACTCATCAAAGTTGTCGTTTTTTAAAATCAGACATACAAAAAAACTCATCAAAATTATTGTTTTTTTTAATCATACATACAAACAGACTCATCAAAATTATCTTTCCCTTTAATTCATAGATTCAAACAATATGACTTATTGTCTTTAAATTAAACATATTGGCATGAGTTTTTTTTTTTTTTTTAATTTAAAAGCCATTGTCTTTTTCCTAAATACTTCCAACTTGTGTAACCACGTGATTGAATTGGAGGTCAGAACTGATATGACTAGATATAATATGACCAGAGCCAGTTTCAAACCTGGTTTGAAACTGGCTCTGGTCATATATTTATCATTCGTAAGGAAGGAGGCGTGGGTATCCTGGTTAAATGCTAATTCGTGAAGCTCCGAGACAAAATCTTAAGGACTTTTGCAACACCTAAATAAATAACAAAAATATATATAAATAAAGAGTATGCTTAAATTTCGTAAAGAAATAAGACAATAAACATTGCTTATTGTCTTATTTCTTAACAGACAGGTATGTGTGTATACTGACTGCAAAAGATTTTAAAAATCGAAAGTCACACCAGCTTCTGAAAAAGAAGAAACGTTAAGTAATTATTTTTGGATTCTGGAGCGGGACAAAAAGTCACTTCCTATAAGACTTGCACGATTAACAGCCCTTGGTAGGATTACTACTTTAGAATGTTTAAATGACGTTTATACAACTTTTTAAAGAAATTCAGAAGTTTTTTAATATTGAACAAGTATAATATTATAACAATTTCATTGTTTTTATAGATATAATATACATATGTAACAGATATAATATGTAATAGATTTTTAATAATAATAATAATAACAAATAATAATAATCAATTAATATGTTTTTGAACTAAATATTTCACTTCATGGATATTTTACAAATAGTACATGTACTAATCTTAATAAAAACCTTGCTGAAGTTTATAACAATAACATTATTAATAATGTAATAGTAATCAACAACAGTCGTAATTGAATTAGTTATAAAAGTGGAAGTAGGAATAATAACAAACATAGGCGCCCGCAGGATTTTTTGATGTTTCAGATAGGATACTTCCACACATTTCAAAATGAATGAGGTGTAAATTTTGCATGGTTATAACTTTTGTAATTTACAATATTTTTCTACGAAATTTAAAATCTGTCGATAAATTTAAATTTAGTTTAAGATAGTAAAATTGAAATTTTTACTACATCACTGCCCTCACGTTTGAACAGGGGGGACAAACGTTTTAGGGCTTTTTTGTTCCCAGGCCTCTGCCATCCCAAATTTTTGATAAGCCTTCTCCTTCTCCTTTTTCAAAATTTACATATATTCATATAATAACAATAATAATAATAATAATAATATTATCTATAACAATAGAAACAATATAATTATAATAAAATATAACTAATAAGAATAAATATAAATTGTTATTTCTAAAGGAAGGTGTCACTCAAACAGAAGCCTGATCAAAGGAATGACATCAAATAATTATAACAATAATAATTAAAAATAATAATATTATCTATAATAATACAAATAATATGGTAACATGAGTGTCATTCATAATCAAAATGAGTGATAACAATTAATTATAACAATTAGTATAAATAATAAAATAATTATAAAAATAATAAATATGAACCGAAAATCGCTAAGAAAATAAATAAAATAATAATAATAACGATAAAGTGATACGATAAACAACGATAATGATAAACAACGATAAGTTAAATAATAAGACAAAAAAATATAAAAACACTCAATAACAACTGCAAGCAAAAATAAAAATAATAAGCAAAACAGAACAAATAAAAAACAAATCTTACACAAACGAAAAGGCAAAACACAAAAACAACAAGATGAAACACAAAAACAACAAAACGAAAAGGCAAACACAAACACTTCTACAAAAAAAAAAATTAAAAAATAAGGACAAACTTTAGTTATTTTTGCGAAATAAAGAAAAAAAAAAAATGTGTAAAAAATTTGGTAAAATAGAAAAACAGGAATCAACAATAAAAATAATTGGCACAAATAATAACAAGCTTTACGCAAACGAAAAGAGAAACACAAAAATTACAAAACGAAATGCATACACAAAATGATAATATTTAACAAATATAATATTTAATAAAAATAATTAATGGTATTATTAATTATTTTTCATAATTAAAAAAAAAATTAAAAAAATAATAATTACAACAAAGACTAGCTATAAAAATATCTTCTAAAACTTGATCTTTTCTTTCTTTTCTTCTGCTTTTTTGTTGGTTTCTTCAGTTTCAGTAACAGATATAATTGTTTGAGTAACAGATATAATATGTAATAGATATAATATTCATATATATGTTTTATAGATATAATATACATTGTTTTGGATTTAATTATTTCCAAATTTCTGTGTAGGTTCTACATTTCTTTCACCAAAACACTATAGTGTATTTATGTAATAATGGATGGTTATCCTGGGCGGTTTTCCACGTTATAATTTTCTCAATAAAAATGATATTATATAATTTTTAACCAAAGGAGTAATTTAAGACAAAAATAGTTATTTTAGGATTTAAAAATAGTTTTAGTTAAATTTTCACAAATTATTAATAAAGATATAAAAGCAACTCACTTTTCATCCCAATGAAAAAAAGATATATATATATATATATATATATATATATATATATATATATATATATATATATATATATATATATATATATATATATATATATATATATATATATATATATATTCTAATGGCAATAAAAAATCTGTGATCATTTTGGAATGTTTTGGATTATACATAAAAATTGCCTCGAAAATAATCTTTCACCAGACGGGATGTTCCAAAATGTTTTAAAAAACTACTATTTTAATTATTTCCAAATTTCTGTTTAGGTTCTATATTTCTTTTACCAAAACATCCTTAAACAGTTACAGATTGACCTCCATATTAAAACGTTTGTAGTAAACATTCTTCCGTATACCTTTCTTCTGCATATCTTTTCACAAATACACAACATTTTTAACCAAAAACTTCAAATTCGGGCTCATCTGCTTTTCCAAGAAAATTGATTGACTAATGTTCGTATCTTTACCTCCATTTAGCTTCTCGTATCTTAACCTCCTTTTTATCTTATAAGCTGGCAATAATAATGATTTCCGAGAAATTGTGTATGAGCAACAAAAGACAAAGAGACAGTAGCAGAACTTTTTGATAAAAATTTTTCTATTAAAAAAAGTGGATTAAAGCAATTGAAGCAAAATAATTATTTATTTTTGATTTGAGATAATTATTTTAAAAAAATATTATATTAAAATAATCCCTCGAGTAATTGTTGAGGAGCGTAACCTGAATATTCAAAGTTAATTGCTTTTACATATACCTGTGACGGATCTGGGGAAAAGGAGGGAGGGGGTTCCCCCTCCCTCCACCTACCAGAATCTGAAAGTCCTAAAAAAATTCTTAGAAATTGAGGGCTTGCTGTCGTTGTAATCGTTTTTTTTTTTTGTATAAATCTGATGTTAATACAACGCACTCACAGTTGCAGTCATTGCCAAATTAATTTTTTCAAATTCTCATTTTGTGCTTATACTGCTTTATTCAATATAAAACTTGAAGATAAAGAAGATAAAGAAGATAAAGAAGATAAAGAAGATAAAGAAGATAAAGAAGATAAAGAAGATAAAGAAGATAAAGAAGATAAAGAAGATAAAGAAGATAAAGAAGATAAAGAAGATAAAGAAGATAAAGAAGAT